AGTGGGTAAGGATTTGTGGTTGCCATGGTATTGTGGGTAGTGAGATATAGTTGCCTCGGCAGTTTGGAATAAAAGAAGGTAGCTGTCAGGACATAGGTCAGTGGCTGTGGTGTCTCTGTGCCTGGCAGTGGAATGACTGATAGGTTGGCATTGTATAGTATCATTGCTAACAATTTGGTTGCTGGGGCATTGTGTGGAATAGGCTTTAGTTTCATGGGACCAAGGTGTGGGGATCTGTTGTGGAAGGTGGTTGCCATGGTATCATGGCTGGGAGAACATGGTTGCAGTGATACTGTGGGTGACAGAATCAGTAAGCCATTCTGCTGTGGGTGATGGCATGTGGCCGTCTCAGCGCAGTGGTTAACAGAATGGTTGCCACGGTGCTGTGGGTGGGTGAAAGTGGTTGCCACAGCACTATGGGTAATGGAACATGGTTGCCATGGCGTTCTGCAGAGCAGAGTGTGGTTGCCACGGTGGCTGGGTGGGGAGACTGTGGTGGCCATGGTCCCGCTGCTTGCTGGGCCCTATGGGGTGGGGCTCAGGCTGTGGAGGGCAGAGCTCACCTTGACTTATGAGCCAGTGGTGGGGCTGAGCCACATCTTCCCTAGGGGTCAGGACCTACCAGGGACACCATGACCCCCTAACCGCATCCCTGCCCCTTGGCCCCCAGGACACCCCTCGTGTTTACAGTTCACGGTGAACATGACTGCAGCTGTGCGGACCTACCGCTGGCAGTGCATTGAGTGCAAATCCTGCAGCCTGTGTGGCACCTCAGAGAACGACGTGAGTGCCCCATCACACCTCCAACTGTCCTCCCCATTCAGTACCTTCACCCTGGCCACTTGAGCCTCAATCTTCCCTCAGAGCCCCTCCCTGGGGAACACTAGTAACATGGATTATTATTACTGAGCCCTCCACACTTATTCTTTGTCTCTCTGAGTCCCCCCAGCCACCTTCTGAGGTGGGTGCTCTTATTCTCACTCCAGAGAAGGAACTAAGCTCAGAGAGGGAAAATGTCCTAAGGTCACCCAAATAGGGAAATCGAGGGGCTGGGATTTGAATCCATGTCCACTGCTTCCAGAGGTGCTCTCAGATTATCTTAGTATCATTTTTTGGTTTTTTTGAGATAGTCTCAAGCTGTCACCCTGGGTAGAGTGCTGTGGCATCACAGCTCACAGCAACCTCAAACTCTTGGGTTTAAGCGATTCTCTTGCCTCAACCTCCCAAGTAGCTGGGACTACAGGTGCCCGCCACAATGCCTGTCTATTTTTTGGTTGGAGTTGTCATTGTTGTTTGGCAGGCCCAGGCTGGATTTGAACCCGCCACCACTGGTGTATGTGGCTGGCACCCTAGCTGCTGAGCTACAGGCACCAAGCCATATCTTAGGATCATTTAAAGCCTCCCTCCTAGTCTTACAAAACCCAGACGCCACATTGCAAACTGATAGTCCTCAGAGGTGATTTTGTTTGGCCAAGCAGTGTCTCGCAAAGACTCCATGATGCAAATGAGAGCCCTCTTTCTCTTTTAGAAGGGACCTCCTCCCCCAGCCCCTTTGCCCTAGCCCCTGCCCCAGCCCCCCACCCCCGTTTCTGGTGCCCCGTGCCTCCAGGGTGCCAGCTGGGCGGGTCTCACCCCCCAGGACCAGCTGCTGTTTTGTGATGACTGCGATCGGGGTTACCACATGTACTGTCTGAGTCCCCCCATGGCGGAGCCCCCGGAAGGTGAGAGAAGAGGTGGGCACCATGTGGGGTGGATGGGTTGGCAAGCTGTCCCCCATTGGTGAAGGCCATGTCCTCTGGTGGGAAGGAGTTGGGGCAACCCTCTCTGGACCTGGGCCCAACTAACTCCATCCTCTGGCCACCACTGCAGGGAGCTGGAGTTGTCACCTCTGTCTTCGGCACCTGAAAGAAAAGGCCTCTGCCTATATCACCCTCACATAGGCCTGGCTCTGGCTCACCTGGACCTCTGGGGTGGTGCTTGCCTACCTGCCTCTCTGAGCTCCTCTACTCTCTGTGGGGGCCCCAATGTCCCACAGAAGGAAGGGGAAGGGAGAGGCCCAAGAGTGGGCTGGAGTTGTCATGCCCAGCCCCTGCCCTTTGTGCAAGTGGAATGTTTGCCCTGTGGGTTGGTGGCTCAGCAGGACCCCTCTCCCTCCCTCCCCATCCCTTGGCAAATGGGCACCAGGGGCTTCTGCTCCCCTCAAAGCCATACCCCGCCTCTGGGCGGGCATGGGGGGTGGTGGGTGCCAGCCAGGGGCATGGATGGAGCCTTTTTCTAAAGAAAAAGACAAAAAGTAAAAAAAAAAAAAAAAAAAAAAAGAAATTAATATATACAGAGTCTATAAGGCCTGGCTGGGCGGAGGGGCGCTGCTGAGAGCATCAGTGGGCACCAGTGTATGCCAGCCTCCTGCCTGGCGCCCCTACCCCCATTCCACCTCCCCACCCAAGGTGGCACCATCTCCCTGTGCCCAGGGTGGGTGGGCATGATATGGTGCCCCATTCTGGTGCCCACCGTGGATACTGCATGATGTGAACCATGGTTTTGAACTCTGTTCTCCCCATCGCCCCACCCACTGCCCACTGTGGTGGGTGGCGGTGGGGCGGGCCCCTGCCCAGCACCTGCTGGAATGAGAAGCACAGACTCTGCAATGGACTCCTTTCCTTCCTCCTCTGCCCCTCTTCCCTGCCCTGCCAGGCCCGGCTGCCCCTGCCACCCTCACTGGCCATTTTGGGGGTGTGAGGGGGCGTGGTTGTTTCTTGTGGTTGTGTGTGTTTGTTGTTCCGGGTTTTAAAAAAGGGAAATTGAGACTGCAAGTGGGGGAGGTGGTGGGTTGGGGGATCTCCCCCAATCCAGTAGCGCCTCCCCACCTCATCATCGAGTCTCCTTTATTGCCTGCCTCTGCTGTGAATTAACTTGTTCTGTGTATTAAACTGGGCCTGACCCTTCTGCCCACGACTACCTCGTTCTCTGGCCTGGTTTGGGGAGTCACCAAGAAGGGAGATGGGGCCTCACTGATTGAGCCGGCCCCTCCCTCTATCCACTCTCCCCAACTGCCTGTCTCCGGCTTTGTCCCAGCTTCTCCCAGCCTAGCTGGAAGAGAAGGGGGATGGGGTAGAGGGGCTCCCGCCCAGCCAGCTGTGGTTGCCCTGGCAACGGACTGCTGCAGCTGCAGTGGGAGCTGCGAGGGGGAGGTAGCTCCGGGCTGGGGGAAGGGCAGGGATGGGAAGAGGATGAGGGTGGCCCCTCCTGGGGCCACTGGGCTGGGAAATAGGGTGTCCAGAAGAAACACCCTGGCTGGGCTGGGCAACAGAGTGTCCGGAAGAAACAAGCAGCCTATCACCTGAGGCTCCCTGTCCTGGATATGGGGCAAAGAGTGGTGGGGACGGGTGAGAGGGAGATACTTAGACACCAGGCCACCAGGAGGGAGGCTGGGATTTGGGTGATGGGGGAAGAGGAGTGAGGGAGAACCAGGACATGGAGATCGGGAGAGAGATTATGAGAGTCACAAATTTATGGAGAGAATCAGAAAAAGAGCTGGAGGGAGAGAGATGAGGAGAGCAACAGGAATAATGGGGGAAGAGTCAGGAAAGAGCAAGAGAAAAGGAGATGGAAATTTAGTGGGAAAGAGGAAATAACAGTAATAAAAAATAGCTGACATGCTGGGGAGAGCCAGAGGAGGAGGAAGCACAGTGATCTGGAGAAAGGCAGATTTAGAGAGAACCAGGAGAGAGGCAGAGAGGGAGGAAACTAGGAGAGGGAGGAGAGTCAGGATCCAGGGACAAAGTCCCAGGACAAAAGACACAGCTGAGAGAGACGTGGATTTCAGGGGAGAGATGGACACATGAATTTAGGGGACCAACAGAACAATGTGGAGAGAGCCAAAGGGGCAAGGGGCACCTGGGATAGGCTGGGAGGAAGGAGGGTCCGACCAGAGCCGGCCAGAAGCTGGAAACCCAGCGAGGGCGGAAAGGCAGAGCAGCAGTTTGGGCGCGACCAGGCGCTGGCGTGTGAGAGTCGTGGGGTGTTGGAAGCCGCTGATGTGCGCGTCTTGGGTGCCAGGAGAGGATGTGAGAACAGTGTTTTCTGAGGCTTCCGCCCCCTTTGCCTGTGGCTGGAGGGGGAGGGCAGACTGGGTGAGGACTGGGTCTGAGACCAGAGAATGTCGGGAGAACTCTAGAAAACTCTGGAATTTTAAAGAGCAGACTAGGTAGTCTTCCTTCTCTGGATGTAATCCCCATGCCTTTTGGAAAAAGACATTTTTTGGCAGGGGCTGAGGTTCTGAGTCAGAGAAGCCTTGGGTTTTAGGTCAATGACAGGTTATGGATGGTGAAGGTCAGAAGGATCCCCGCCTAGCCAGCTCTGATTTGCACTTGGCATTTCCTGTTCCTGATTTGGAAATCAGTTTGACCCTGATTCCCAGTCCAAGTGCAAGTGCTCTGTAGGCTGGATGTGAATTTGGAGCATGAGGGGCTGCTTCCTACCCTGACCACCCATGGCCGACTGACAGGAGGAGCTCCACACTCCCTACCTCCAGAGGGGGTAGAATGGACAGGAGTAGAACACAGTGACCGCGGTGGCTTGGGCAGGAGGCCAGCCCAACGAGGCAAGGGTTCCTTCCTTAGTCTTGTTGCAAAAGGCTGATCCCCTAAGCTGGAAATCCAGCTTTCTTTATGTACTACCTCCAGATTTTTAAAAATTGGCCACTATTTCTAAAACCAACATAATTCCATGGTCCACGTCTGGCTTTTGGGCCTCCAGCATATGACTTCTGTAGAATCTCACTCTCTTTTTAACTTAGGGACGTTTTACATTTTGAGTACTGGATTTCTGTTGAGTTCCCAGAAAAAGAAGTTCACAAGGCTGGTGTCCCCTGGTTCTTAGTGTATATGTGGTGGTGATAGGTATTTGGGGATGAGAAGGACAGCAGGAGGGGACTGGTATTGGACCATACCTTCTTGTCAGCTAGCTCTAGGCAGCTGTCCAGTTAGTGAACACACAAGCCATTTCTATGAAACATTTATTTCCTTTGAAACCTCCAGAAACATGCCAGAAAATGTCAAGACAAGGATGGGGGAAAAAGAAAAGACAATAAGGAATAATAAAAAAATCCAAATGAAACAAATCAACATATAAAAAAACAAACTGCTAGCTTCAGCCATCAGATAGATCACCAACCTCAAATTAAATAGATTTGTTTTGCGGAAGTCCTTCAAAAATAACAGAAAACAAAACCAAAAATCATAATTTACGTTTGTCAATGTACACGATTAGGTCCCCAAAATGATTTGAATGATCTGAAGTTATGAGGAGACAACTAAAAAAAAAAGGCTCCAGGTTAGGGTCTGAGGAAAGGAGTGGGGGTGAGGGACTGGAGACTCCCTCCAGAAAAGGGAGTCAGGGAAGAAGGAGAGACATCACAGTAGTTGGCCAGGGCTGAGGATGGTGGCTGAGCGGCCACCCCACAGCGCCCACCTCACACCCTGGGCGTGGGGGAGAGCAGCTGAGAGCTGAGGTTTCTGCTCCAGACGGCAGGGCTGCTTGGGGACACAGGCTTATCATAGGAGATGCCATAGTACCCTCTTCTCTCGCCCCCACTCATCTGGCCTGGCACCTCCCTGAGTGCCTGCGTCTTGTGCAGTCCCCAGAGCCCCCTTCCTTGAGGTTCCTGGCCCCAGAGAGAAAGTGGCAAGTCCCTGGATGAGGGCTGGGCTGCTTGGCGCTGGCATGCAGCCCAGAGCTCTGAGCCAGACCCTCTCTGCCAACTCCTCCCTGCCTGCTGCCTCCCAAAAGGGAAGCTGCCTGCTCGCCCACCCTGACTTTGTCCCTCTAGAGTCGTCCTGCTGACCCCCAGCCCACGGGGGACTCGCCTCGGTCCTCAGCTTGAGGTTGGGGGAATCCACAGACTGTGGCCATACAGACTTGTTCTGGCGCAACTCTACATGAAAAAATAAATATATATATATATATATTTTTTGTTTTTAAAGAAGGAAAGAAAAGAAACTCTGTTTCCTGGGTGAACAGCATAGTACCACGTCGGCTCGGCTGCCTGGCAAGCTGCCCCTTATTGCCTTTAGAGAACCAGCGTCCAGAGGGCTCCGTGGGGCGCTCCTGGGGAGCACAGTGAGGGTGTCTGCTTGGTGCCACCCTGGGCCTTGGTGATGGGCTGGGAGGCTTGCAAAGGAGAACAAAACCCAAGGAGATGCAGGCTGTTTTTCTCCGGCCCTGACCTGAGGGCTTCATGAGCCCCTCCTGGGGCCAGGGGGCCGCCGGTCGGTCGTGCTGGGAGGGACTTGGCTGTGGTGGCCAGTAGCTGGAAGGTGGAGGGGCCTAGCGGCCCCAAGCCCAGGCGCTGTGGCCTCTGGCAGAAGAGGAGCTGATAGAAAAAGATTGTATAAATTGTCCTGATTGTACAAATAGAGTTTCTCTCTCAAAGAAGTTGACTCTGGATGCTGGGTTTTCCTTTCTCCATCCTGGGGCCCCCAAGAAAATAACTTAAAACTCTAAGAAAGTGCTCCTGGCTGCTTTTTGGAAGGAGGGTTTGGGAGGGATAATGTTCGTGATTTTTGGAGCTAGGGCACTGGGGACCTAGGACCTGGTCTGTTCCCTCTCTGGGTGTGGCGGGATGAAAGCGCTGGTTTCACACTGTATTTTTCATGCAGGGGGCTTAGCCCCAAAAGCTTCAACTGTCATTCGTGGGGAAGAAACCTACTTTGTGAGCTCCCAGACCAGTGGGGTTTGGAGACTGACTCCTGCCCCGTCCTAGCAAGAGGCCGTAGATGGGGACAGAGGACAGGTCCTGCAGCAGTGTGAACATGGCCGGCTCACAGGGAACATAGGTGGGCAGCCTCGAGGGGGCTTGAGGGCCACGGGCACACTCTGGCTCACAGCCCCACTGTGGACTTCCTTGAGTCCTACTGCCATCAGGCTTTCGAGTCCACGGGGAGGGCTGCGGGGGCAGTCAGTGCCAGGGCCCTGGCTGGGTTATCTTGGAGGTGAGTAGCAGAAGACAGCAGGAACCCACAGCCTGCCTGCAGGGAGGGAGCCAGGGCCTGGTGTGGAGGGGTAGGAACTCTGTGGCCTCTGTGCCTCAGAGTTCCTTCTCCCTGCAGAAGATCTCAGCAAACTTGCGCAGCTGCTCGCTGGCGGCCTGCGACTCCTCCTGCAGCCTCTGGTTGTTCTGTCGCAGGCTGGCCACTTCCGACTGCAACACCACCTTGTCCTGCTTCTCCTGTGTGGGGCAGAAGGCCAGGCATCAGCCAGGCCAGCTGGGGGCTCCTAACAGCGAGCGCCCTTCCTCTGCCCTGGCTGAGCCCCAGCCCAGCTCTGGTTTAGAGCTGACAGCTAGAACCAGGCTGCTGGGGTCCAAATCCCAGACTGACTAATCCCAGGCAAGTCCTGTTATCTCTCTGGGCTCCAGTTCCATAAACTCTAGAAAGTGCAGCTGAGGTTTTCTGAGGTTGTAGACATAAAGCTCTGAGGACCCAGCCTGATGTGAAGTAATCATTCTGTGAACATCACATTATTACTGTTGCCTCATCCCACCCTCACAACCACTCAAGGACTTGGGGACTACTGTTATCCTCATTTTCTAGGAATAGAAAACCTAGGCTTGCACAGCAGTGGGGAGCTGGGCTGCGGATGCAGCCTGAGCAGGCGTCCCCCCTTCCAGGGTAACATAACACTAGAGGCAGAGACTCCTCCAAGGTCACAAAGCATTCAGGACTGAGGTGGGGATTTGAACCCAGACTCCTGTTATTCCTGTGCTTGAGGACTAGCAAGTTATACTCTGCCATTTACCCAAAGATATGTTCACAAGTCAAAGTCTCCTCTGCCCTGTTTTTCCTTCCAACTCCGGAGCTAAGTCCCAGGAACTACTTATTTATTTTTGAGACAGAGTTTCTGTCACCCTGGAAAGAGTGATATGGTGTCATAGGTCCCAGTAATCTTAAGTCTTGGGCTCAAGTGATCCTCTTGCCTCAGTGTCCTGAGTATTTGGGACTTCAGGTGCCCTCTATAAGGCCTGGCTAGTTTTTCTATTTTTAGTAGAGATGGGGTCTCATTCTTGGTCAGGCTGGTCTCAATCTCCTGAGCTCAAGCAATCCACCCACGTTGGCCTCCCAGAGTGCTGGGATTACAGAAATGAGCCGCCTCAACTGGCTTCAGATATCCCTCTCAACTCATGGTTGTTAAACATTTTCTTAAAAAGTATGTCATCATCCTAGGATACAGTTCTGCGGCTTGCTTTTTGACTTACATTACTGGGCTTCTCTCGCATGTCAGTAAATATGTAGATCTGTCGTTATTTTAATTGGCTGCAGGCTATTCTACTGCACGGGTGACAGCCATTCTCCTGTTGATGGACAGCTGCACTGACTCCAATTTTTTATTGCCAACAGGGCAGCAATGTACATCCTTGTTCACTGATCCCTTTGTACTCATGCTAGAAATACTCACAGACAAATTCCTGTAAGTGGAATTGCTGGGTCCACGAGGGGCACAATTATATTTTTGATAAATATTGTCCACTGCCCTCCAAAAAGGCTGGGCCAATTTATTCTCCCTCCAGGAATATATTATAAGTTTCTTTGTGCGCTTACCAGCCTTTGGTGTTACCACTTTTTGCTCATGACTATACTCAAGAATAGGAGGGGACAAGTGCAGAGTGGACTTGGTAGGTGTCTAAACCTTGTTCGCATTGGCCCCTGAGTATCTGGGAAGTGGGCCTGGGATGGCATGCCATGAGAGAACTTACCTTCTGGAGGTCTGTGTGCAGCTGCTTCAGCATCACCTCCAGCTGGTACACCTTGCCTGTCAGATCCAGGGGGGGCTCCTCGCTGAAAGGATAAGAGACAAAGTCAGCCTGAGGCCCAACAGCCCCTGGGGAGGGCTCTCGAGCCACATCTGGGAAGATCACGGGGTATAGGCCCCTCTTGCCCCTGAGATTCTGCTGAATCCTTTCCTTGCTAGAGGTGTAAGGCATGCACCAAGAAGCTCTGAGGGGAAGCCAGAAGGCAGGCTTCCTCCTGGTCCTGCTCTACCCACCAAGGGCACTGTGTCAGGGGGATGGGGGCGCCTGCCTTGAAGTATATATTTTCCCTGAGGATCAGCCTTGTTCGTGTTGTTAGGAGAACTTCTTCCATGTATCTTCTAGATACAAAGAACCTACTCCACAGATGTCTACTGAGCTCCTAGCAGGTCTAGGCACTGTTCCAAGCACAGGAAGTGGACAGATATAAAAAAGGGCCCACCCTTGTGGATAGGGGTAATGATGCTGGCAACATGATGACAGAGTGCCTGTCTCTGAGAGCCCACCCTACACCTGGTCCTGGGCTCCTGGGTTCTAGGCGTGGTCCATCTAACAGACCCCCCTGCCCTCTGTGGTTTCCAGAAGAACTGCACAGCCACCCACAGATAGAAGATGAAGACTGGGCTCAGGCAGGGGATGCTGCCCATACAATTGCTAGTGCTGGGATTTGAACCCAGGACCTCTGTCCTGTGGCTCCTCCTCTGGGCAGATTCTCCCAGCCCTGGGCCTGCCTAGTCCCTGCAAAAGAGAACATGCAGCTCCTTCCTCTGAGGGAGGCCCCTCTGAGTACTGTGGGTACCAGGGGAGGGGACAGGGCTGCAACAGAAGTGAAGGGAGGCAAGATGTCTCAGCCGCCTGCTGCCCACCCAGTTCTTCCCCTGCACCATGATCCTGAAGTCTGGGGGACCTGCAGCTGCAGAGCGTGGTGGGAGGCAGAGAGGAGGAGGCCACCAGTTTGGGAGCAAAGGGAAGCCCAGTGCCACAGGGTCCCACACCCTGTGTTGTCCCTACCTCACTGTAGCATCTCTGCACCTTTACTTGCCTACATGAACCACAGTGGGCCATGCTGTGGTGCAGGTTGAGTTCCAAAGCCAGTGTGTAGAGCAAAAAACACAAAGAGTCCAAATTACCCTTAAAAATTACTTCACTTGCACCTCAGAAAGTGCACGGAGTGTTGTATACAGAAGCCTGTGCCATGCAGACAAGTGTGAAATGCACTATTTAAATCCATGTACAGGCAGAGCGTGCCATTTACATTCTCTCTGCCTCTTTTTAATTTTGTTTTCTGCCAAGTTAGTGCAGTCAAATATGTTGCATTAAATGTGAGAAGCAACTTATGAGATGGCAAATGTGAGATATCTGTCCCTATCTTCCTTCCTGCCCTATAAAGCCTCCTGAGGGCTGGGCCTGACCCCAGAGAGCCCAGCACCGGACCTGGCAGCGAGGCCGGAAAGGGTGTGTAAGGCAGTGTGATGAGGACTCTTGCAGGGATCTGCAGGGGACGATACAGAGGAGCAGACAGACGGGAGATTGGCGGCAGAGAGCTGGGGGGTTGCGGGACACTAGCATTTTTCAAAGTTGTTAGTGAAACAATTATGTGAGTATTGATTCGTCTTCTCCACCGGACTAGGAGATCTGCAAGGACAGGGGCTGAGTCTGTTTTGGTCACTGCTGGTTCTCAGTGCACGGACTGGCATAGCATAATCAGTCTAAAGTCTTTTAGGTAAAGGGAGTGGTAGGAGACTTCCAGCTAGGAACTACTTTCTACTTTGTGTCCTTCTGTCATTGCACAGACCTGCTGCTGATAGGGACCCGGGTGCGTGGGCCCCTAAATGTTCCCAAGGAAGCCTTACCTCATGGTAGGGGTGGTCCTGGGGGTCGGGGGTCCCCTTTCCAGGCTCAGGTGGCTGTGGACAGGGCTGTGTGCAGGTGGAATGTCAGGGCTCAGGGCTGGATCATTTAGAGAGAAGAGTGAGACGGCTCTTTGCACTGCCAGTGAGAGAGGGGAGAGAGGGCAGATGGGCAGGGCTGCCTGCTTCTTCCCCATCTGACAACCGCGCCCTTCCCTGCAAACCTCCGACCCAGACCTCCAAGACACTTCTGGTCACACATGTGATTGATTAAATGGGTGTAGAACAGATACCTGCCAAAGCCCCAACCAAAACAAGAACAAAACAAAATAGGAAAACAAAATCCCATCTTGATTCTGACCAAGGCTCTGTATCCAATGAACAGTTTATACAAAATACAAGGGATAAAGCTGGGCCCAGTGGCTCACGTCTATAATCCCAGTACTCTGGGAGGCTGAGGTAGGTGGATTGAGCTTATGAGTTCAATACCAGCCTGAGCAAAAGTGAAACCCAGTCTCTAAAAATAACTAGGTGTTGTGGCGGGTGCCTGTAGTCCCAGCTACTTGGGAGGCTGAGGCAAGAGAATCACTTGAGCCCAAGAATTTGAGGTTGCTGTGAGCTATGACGACCTGGCCCTCTATCAACAATGACAAAGTAAGACTCTATCTTTTTTTTCTTTTTTTGGCCGGGGCTGGGTTTGAACCCACCACCTCCGACATATAGGGCCGGCACCCTACTCCTTTGAGCGACAGGCGCTGTTCTGTCTTTTTATTTTTGAGACAGAGTTTTACTTTGTTGCCCTCGGTAGAGTGCTGTGGCATCATAGCTCACAGCAACTTCAAACACTTGTGCTTAAGCCATCCTCTTACCTCAGCCTCCCAAGTAGCTGGGACTATAGGTGCCTGCCAGACTGCCTGATTGTTTTTTTGTTGTTGTTGTTGTTGCGATTGTCATTGCTGTTTTAGCTGGCCCAGGCCAGGCTGGGTTTGAACCCGCCAGCTTCGGTGTATGTGGCCGGCGCCCTACTTACTGAGCTACGGGCACTGTTGAGACTCTTGTCTTAAAAAAAAAATACAAAATACGAGGGATGGAGAAATAAGTTAAATGACAGAGTGAGGTACTAACCAACCAAATTCAGAACTAGCATGCTCTAAACATAAACGACCTGGTTTGGTCAACAAATAAATGATATGAAAAACAGGGCCAAATGCAGATGGATTGGTGCTGGGTGATGGGTCCACAGGGATTCGCTCTCCTTCTGAGAAGGCTGGTTACAGTTCAAACGCAAAGACAAATGAGACATGGAATATCATGCATATTGAAGAGAGAAAAGAAATCGCTCGGGTTGCCAGTTACAGATGAAGAGTGCTGGGTCCCACCTTAGACACGTGACTCACTCTGGGGTTGTCTGAGACATCTGTGTTTTTGACTGTTAGATTATCTTTCTGTCATGGCAAGAGCTGGTGACAGCCCTAGTGCCCTCAAGTAGTGGCTAGTTTGGTGAACCACGGATAGCCAGACAATAGAATCCTTGGGAGTGCCAAATAAGGTGTTGTGTGCGCTGTGGAGACAGGTAGGTACCACCAGGGCCAAAGCTGGGTGGCTGTGTACATGCCATTGTGGTATGGGGCAGCCCCAGAGCTATTTCTGGGCTTCAAAGAACAACAAAGAAAATACCCAGATGCCCTTCCCCTAGAGCAGGCGTCCTCAAACTATGGCCTGCGGGCCACATGCGGCCTGCCTAGGACATTTATTCGCCCTGCCCGGTGTTTTTGCTGCCGCTGCCTGTCCTGCTTAGCAGCTGACTTGTCCCTGGGCCCACAGTCTGGCCCTCCAACGGTCTGAGGGACAGTGAACTGGCCTCCTGTATAAAAAGTGTGAGGACCCCTGCCCTAGAGCCACCATTGTTAACATCTTGCCATATTTACTTTCTTTCTCTCCTCATCTGTGTGTGTTATTTTTTTCTCCTAATCACTTGAGAGCAAACTGTCAACATCATGGTACTTTCACTCTGTGAACATCATTAGAAATTGCTAAAAAATATGATCACAACACCACTATCATACTCAAGGAACTTAACATTTATATTGCTACAACATTATCTACTATACCACATAGTTATCTTTAACATTTCTCCAATTTGAGCGGTGCCTGTGGCTCAAAGGGGTAGGGTACCGGCCCCATATGCCAGAGGTGGAGGGTTTAAACCCAGCCCCGGCCAAAAACTGCAAAAGAAAAAAAAAATTTCTCCAATTCTCTGAATAGTATCTTTCATAGCTGGGTTTTTTTTTTTTTCTACCTTGGATTTAATATTTATTCTCTTTGAAAATATTTTTACAGGAATAATTTCAAATATACCCCGAAGCAGAGAATAACTCATTGTTAGTCTTTAGGAGCCTGTCACCAGTTTCAACGATTTTCCACATATACGACTCTGGCTTCTTCACCTTTATCTCTTTTGCTTTTTAAAATCTGTATTCCCTGATTAGTCCTCTACTTAACTCTTTTTTTTTTTTTTT